ATTTACAAGTTATACACATAAGGACTTAAAGGTGGAGAATGTATTGATGTGAACTTCTTTATTATGATGATCACAACATTTCGGAGTATGTACTTACTCCTTCATTAGGTGAATATTCACAATTCTGCTCCAAATGCAGAGATCAATGCTCATATTGTCAACCATATTTGCCATTTTTATATCATATTCATGTGTATAATACATTTTATTTCTAATAATGGCGTAATTGAGACACACAAATATAAAGTAACCCAATACTTTCCGTAACGGGCGACAATGCTTGTCGGTGACTTGGTTGATGCATGTCATTGATCCCAATTGTGTGGGTCGATGCTCATGATGTCAGTCACTGGACTGTCTGGTCCAGACTCGATTATTTACATATAGCCGGAATATTGCTTGAGTGCGGCATAAAACAACAAACCAAATCATAAGTGCGGGATGAGTGATTTGAAATTAGCAAGTTTTATGTGACCTTCAATCACTACAACCTGATCTGAGTCTTGAAAAGATATGACTTTGATTCAGTGAAAATTTGCATCATGATAGTTTCAACTGTAGATACGGTTAATCTGTTTTTGGTACAGTTTCTGTTTATTCAATGTATATGTTGTTCAAATAAGCTTTGCCTCTTCACCAACCCTATTCCTCTTTTGGAATAAATAGTGTCTAATAATTCAAACACCATCACTACTAATCATCCTAGTAAACACAACAAAGAAATGCACATCAAAAACGTCATTATTATTATTTCTGATCTCTGATAAATTAGAAAAAACTGTTATCCAGCAAGATACATTTCCTTGGTCCCAAGAAGCATGTTACATAGTAAACTGACTCGATAAGTTGAATAGCAGTCAGCGTGGTTGTAAAGGCACAACTGATTAAGCCGTCACTACTCAATTAAGTAATTAACAGACAATTGCAAGTACTAATACCCACCCGACACTAATTGCCCTGTTAATCCCTAGTCCACAATGAGTTGACATTGAGTTCATTTTGCTAATTAGCTGTTTTTAGAGTAGCAAGGTAATAAACATCAAAGGTGGGGCAGGCTTTGATCATGTGTTCTGTAGAAGAGATGATGTCACTTGTTTTATGTTTATTTAGGATTAGCTACATCCCTTGATGCTACCAAGGCAGCCCTTGAGATTATCAGACAGTTTGGCTTGACACAAACTGATGTTTCCCTTGTAGCACACTAAGTGTCAGACACAGACTTTGACCACTCTGTGCAGATGCATATCAATGCATAAAGAACATTGGGTAGATGATACAACAATGCCACACAAGTCAAAGTTGGGTTTCACAGTATTTAGAAACAGATGATGGATCCAAAACTTTATAACAGTAATTATGATTAATTTAAACTTTGCCAGGCCAATATTTTGGCAGATTTGCATGTTATTGTTAATCTTCATTTAGTTAATTTTCAAAAAAGATAGGATAAATTATAAAATATGATAATGAGACATGAATTTTTGAATTCAGATCAGAACAAACGGAGGGTCACCCCAAAATGTGAGAGTCTCTAGGGGAGGCTTTTGACAAAATGGACAATAAAATATAAAGTGCTTTGCATTTTCTTTCAGGGAGGGTTGTGTCAAAAAATGAACGAGAGCATACCGGTAATACATGACCGGCCCCTTTAATGTAATATACATAGTTTTTAGTTGATGGTTCAGGTTGTACTTTTCAGATGAATTTTTTATCACTGTCTATGATGGACTACCCATTAACGGTAGATATTAAATATCCATAATAACTTAGATAAATGCTTCTACAGTGTCATCCTAATTTGTCAAAATTTGAATTTCAATATAGCTTCCATTAATGAATTTGGTGAGAATATCTATTGTCTGAATTCCTAATATACTTTCTTTTGTATTTGGTGTGCAAGGGTAGCCTAGTGGGTGAAACAGTCTCTGAAACCCGGGTTCAATTCACCACATGGGTACAATGTGTGAAGCCCATAGTTGGAATATTGCTAACAAGCTGCATGAAACTAAACCAACTCACTCGCTCATTATGTTGTATTTTGAGATAACTTACATGACATGTGTTTTGATAATTATGAATAGTTGCATTTATGTATTTATGTATAAGAACCTATGTAACTTAGTTTTGCATAGTCTCGTTTACCCTTCCTTACATTTTGATGTAATGCAAACATTCAAACAAAATGCAGGTGAACCTTGTGGTATTGTTTTAGAAGACCGGATACATTTTTGTATTTTCTGAACACTTTTCTGTTTGCAATGGCTTATTTACATGTTCAAAGATTGGTTAAATATCAGTTGCAAGATAAATTGTCAATACCTCACTGTTCGAGAAAACAACTTTAAACATTTGTAAATGTGTGTGTTTCATAACTTTTGACTAACAAGTTTCTAAAGATGTTATGAAATGTTTCAGGTACCTGGATTTCACAATCTGACACCAGCTACATTTAAGAAGACCTTGCTCACACAATTCAGACAAGGGACTCGCCGGATGATGAACAGTACTCCTGATAACAACCAACAGATTCACCTCAGAAAGTGATGATTCTGAATGAATAATGCCACACCAGTGTTACTGTAGGTGGTTTTATTATGACACTAATGAAGTCTGAATGAATTTATGCCAAAGCACTGTGACTATGTCCAGTTTGTGTACACCGATGCTGACTATACAAATCTGAATGACTTTTGTGGTTTACTGCAGAAACATAATCGACTTTAGATATTCTTCTTCAATAAAATTCTTCTGAGATTTGACTAATTTGTTTATTTAGAAAATGGCATTGAAGCGTCTGTTCTGTAAGGCCTTGCAAACACCACTGGTTACTTTATGCTAGTTCCTCTTCTTGCTTGATCACATTTCAATTTGTGATATGTACCAATGAAATGCCATATAATCAATAAATAAGATTTTTTTCCAAAAACATGATTTGTTTTGCTTCATTAGCATAAAGAAATATAATGCTGATCAGCCATAACATAGGTGCTGAACAAATATAAAATGTACTAATGCCCAGAATGTTTTCCTACTATAAATACAGCTCACTTAACAACAGTTGTAGTTCCACCTTAGTAGACAAATGACATTGATATTTTTTCTGTACTTTATTTAGGTGTTTTCTATGGATGCCATTAGTCATATGCACCAATTTGGGACAATTGTATTCTGTTTTATATTCCCATGAAACTACACTGTCCCGATATAAGTACTGATACCGTTCCAAACTAATCTGTTTATCTCACCAGGGCCAAATGCCAAAGCACATAGCCAATGACTTTCCATTTTTTTCTGAGTGAGAATGCTGTTTTGCCACTTTTAGCAATATTGCAACAATATCATGGTGGGGGACACCAGCAATAAGCTTCACACATTGGACCCATGTCGCAAAACAACTTGTGAACAATGCATGCCCACATATCTCAGTTTGAGGAGGATATTTACAACTAAAATAACACAGAATATTACAACAGGTACCTGTAATGCACAGGCTAACATTATTTACCATAAGCAAGTCATGAAGAAAATTTGCATCCGGAAACCTTCCGGAAACCTTCCAGATGCCTTCAACAACCTTCAAATTGCTTGGTATTTTCAAGTTCATTTTTTTATGTGTTTCACACTTAAGTGAACAAAATGCACCCCCCAAATTTTGACATTTTTTTTGGAAGGTTTCCGGAAGGTATCCGGGCCGGATCCAAAATGGGTAGGTATCCGGAAGGTTTCCGGAAGGTTTCCGGAAGACGGAAACCTACACTTTTTTTGCTGTGCAAGTGCCAGTCTCTGTCCATGTTACAAATTGTAAAATCAGTATTTAAAATTGTAAATCGATCCTACTTTTAAACAAACTTTCTTTTTTTCCGATCGTCACGGTATGGCTGAAATGTCTCCAAAGTCAAAAATGTTTTACCTCACTCACTCACGGCCTCTTTTTTACATTGCAGGAGGTTGATCACATTGTTCAATTATATGTTGTCATGTTAGAATGTGTTAGTACATGTATAATGGTTGTTAGAATGTGTTGTTATAATGGATGTTGTTTGGGTATAATTATCGAAGGTTGTAATAGTAACTATCATTCATTATTCATTTTATCTTCATTAGTGGTAGTGAGGGTTTCGTTGATGTCTCGTCATTAAAAAATAGTTTTTCCTGAAGGTTTCGATGACGTAGAAAAGCTTGCAGCAGACTTGGATAATGTGGAAAAGGTAACATATTTTCAACATTAATAATCAGTATCATTAACGTGGTCACAAAATGACTGTCAAATCAAAGGAATGTGTTGCAAATCATTTACAGACTGGTGTGTGTCATAGGCGGATTCAGGGGTTTGTAGTTTCAGGGGGTCTAGACTTTATATATCTAACAAAATCGATTAGAACTAAGTACACGTTGCTATAAAAAATAAAGTGAATGGATTGAGGCTTTGGGATTAACGCTGTTTTGAACTCAATTATATCACACAATGTCAGTTTAATGACTGAGTGGATATGGTTTTAAGGCGCTTTTAGCACTAGTCCAGCAACATCACGGTGGGGTTTATGATAAAGGAATGGCCAATTCGTTGGTAATAAACTTTTGTTGTATTGCTCTTTAAGCCAGTGGTGCATCCTCGTGCCAATCTCCTTGCTCCTCGTGTCCTTCAACGCACGCAAACGCATGCTCTCATAAATACTAAATATACACACGCACACGCACGCACTCACGTGAATCAGGCAAAGCTAAGATACTTTGTTTGTTTCAGGAGAAGGACAAAGTAATGCTACAGCTGAGTCCTCTATATACAGGTAGGGAGTCCTCTATATACAGGTAGGGAGTCCTCTGTATACAGGTAGGGAGTCCTCTATATACATGTAGGGAGTCCTCTATATACAGGTAGGGCGTCATCTATATACATGTAGGATAGTATTACCTGAAATAGATATATCCCTCGATCACTCATACACTATTAACAAATACGATTAACATGATGATATGTAAACTTTCTTTTCCTTCCTCAGCTGAGTGGCAGAACACATTAAGTTACGTGGACCGGAACATAGGCATCATTTCAAGGTTTAAAGAGCCACGACTTGATACTGTAAGTGTTTATGTTGGTGTCAACAAATGAATATCAGATCAACAGTATTTACCGGTAGAAAGTTGTCTTAGAGTCACTGTCAGTCAATTAAAGGATCCTAGGAGCATTGAACTGTTATACACTCTTATAACCTGATACTCATATCTTCATAGGGATTGAGGTTGATCTGATTCATCTAACTGTGTTGCCTTTACAGACTGACTATGAACGCCAGGACCATCTAATGTTCGGAGATTCTTCTGAGACACCACGTGACTTCCCAGGTAAATGTAACAACTTCAATGTTGTGTGTAATAGGTTGGAATCTTTCATGTTTTAGATATCACATTTTCATATCATCTAAGTTCACATTTTGCTAAAACGTTTTCGATAATTATTGTACCTATTAATTATTCGTTGTTGTAAAATATTAGGTTTAAGTGTTAGTTAACTGTACAAGCTAAGAACGACGATGCAATATCAGGGGCAAATGTGTAAATGTATGTATGTAATAATTTTCCCGATATCAATATTAGACAGTACTGGTTAAGATAATAAGCTAGACTAGTTCTATGATGCGCACACACTTATGTCCCCTTATGTACAAAATACAGAAGGATAGTTCACCTTTTTGCGAACACCTGTCATCACCAGTACTTGATAGTGATTCATGAATACATGCTTATAATAAAGTCGGAATCTTACAATGGACAATACTAACTTTTATGGTCACGGAAAGTGTTTTGTCACTTGCATTCCCCAGTTGCAGTTGAACATATTGAGGAGATCATAATCCGATGTAGAGATTCGTTGTCACACTATCAACCAGCTGTTTGTCAGTTCTAGGTTTGATTACCACTTGGATCATCATGATGGCCTCTAACTCATAAACTGACTTTTACATATTGCATCTAGATACTGACAATCAACGGAGACAAGCACAGAAAAGCCACGTCCTTCAAATAAGACAGTTTCAACAGGGAAGTCTAAGCAGAACTCCTTTGTACGCGATGCTTGAAAGTGTAAGTATTTGTTAAACATCCGATTATGGAATGTTGAACTGCATGGCGAGTAATTAGTTTGTGCAATTGTAGCCACTAAATTATCAAATATTTAGGTAAGGTTGATAGATACAATTTAAAAATGACTAAATGATCACTTTAATTCCGGTTAAAGAACTGTAAAAGTTATGTTCAAACGATATAACTATTTCTTACTTAACCCTGAAGGAGATCATCACATGATCACTTGTGTCCTTTTATCTGACAAAAACTTTTGGTTTGGTTTGGGTTCAAAATCGTTTGTTCCTCTGGTTACCAGACTAAAAATATTTTAACTGTGCCCTCACTTTGTACTCATAAATTCACTCTTTTGTGGTTCCTATTTTTCTTGTAGTTCCTCGCATGCATCAGTGGCACATCCCTGATAGGGAAGAACTTCACCTTTTAAGAGCAAAAGTAGTTCCATTAAACTGTCCATAGAATTTGACCTCGACAACACATTAAGAATGAACAACTTACGTTTCCGATTAATATAAGACAATTAGACGCCTCATAAACGTTCGCCCGCCATGAACCGCACGTGATGTTTTCCTAGCATTTGCTTTATTTGTAACTTTTTAACTTTTCAACATTTTTTTCAAATTGACCCAAACATTCTTTCAGATCTACGTGTTTATCTTCGGGGAGAATTAAAGTTCCCACAACACTATCTATATTTATGTCAAAATGTCCTTTTTGAGGTTGGTGCTACAAATTTATCATAGACTAATGTGAAACCTAAGTCTTCAATACGCCACTGCAAACATTGCAACGTGTCCCCACAGTGGCCTTTATCCATCGTAATAATAGCAAAACAATCCAGGTAAACAACAATCACATCGTACGCTTTACGTTTCATCATACGGGTAAAGCCGGAAGCTCTGCCTTATTTCTCGCCAGCATGGAGAGGACTAGTGTCGATGACGCGCAGCGCTGGATTTAAAGTCGAAAAATATGCCATTGATATTATAAATTCGTTTATGGAAAATGTCTTATATTATCAAACATATGTCATCACATTATTATTTCACTATATATAATTTCCTCCTTGATGATTTGTGGCGCATTCTGATTAGGGTTACCTTTCTACAATGAGATGGTGTAAAGCACCAATAAGAATTAAGGTGTCATTTTCAGTTTTTTTGCTCAAATGGTTGAACTACTGTTATGTCACCTGGCTTCAACACTTAATCTGCATCGGGAAATGCTAAATGAACATGTGCACATATCGGAATGATATTACACACGACCTTTCTACGAAGTTGGCGGGGGATATTGAAATGGGTTTCGTCCGTCCGTGCGTCCGTGTGTGCGTGTGTCCCGAAATCGTTTCCGGAGCATAACTAAGAAACCGTTAAATATTTCTCTACGAAACTTTGCATGTCTATCAGACTCATGCTGAACTGGTGCCTTTTGCTATTTAGGAATTTTGGAAATGAATATTTTTTACGTTTCCGTGACAACAAGTTGGACTTAGGTTCTATAAGGGTGGTATTCATTTCCGGAAGGTAACTCAAAAACTGTTAAAAACTTTCTTACCCAGCTTTGCATGTCTACCAGGCACATACTGAACTGGTGCCTTTTGCTATTTAGGAATTTTAGAAAATTTTATTTTTTTACGTATCCATGGCAATAAGTTGGATTTAAATTTTAATATAGGGTGGGTTCACTTATGGAGTATAACAAATAAACTGTAAAATATTTCCTTGCCAAACATTGCATGAAACGTTTATTTTTGAATTTCCGTTCCAGCTATTTTGACAAGGGCTAAGAGAAATGTTGGGTCAGTTACCTGGTTTTGATCCATAACGTGTTAAAATGGGCGGGGAACATAAATGACTTCGTCGACTATACACTTGTAACACACGCCCTTCCTATCCTTTTATGGGCAACCTTGTTACTGTAAGGACTGTTACATTCTGAAAGGCCTGTTACATCCTGCACTGACTGTTACATCCTGTATCGCCTGTTGCATCATGTAAGGCATGTCACATCCTGTAAGGCCTGTTACATCATGTAAGGCATGTTACATCCTGTAAGGTCTGTTACATCTTGAAATGCCTGTTACATCATGTAAGGCCTATTACTACCTGTAAGGCCTGTTACATCATGTATGGCCTTGCATGTCACATCCTGTAAGGCCTGTTACATCATGTAAGGCATGTTACATCCTGTAAGGCCTGTTACATCCTGTAAGGCATGTTACATCCTGTATGGCCTGTTACATCATGTATGGTCTGTTACATCCTGTAAGGTCTGTTACATCCTGTATGGCCTGTTACATCCTGTATGGCCTGTTACATCCTGTAAGGTCTGTTACATCCTGTATGGCCTGTTACATCCTGTATGGCCTGTTACATCATGTAAGGCGTATTATATCGTGTATGGCCTGTTACATCCTGTATGGCCTGTTACATCCTGTAAGGTCTGTTACATCCTGTATGGCCTGTTACATCCTGTAAGGCCTGTTACATCATGTAAGGCGTATTATATCGTGTATGGCCTGTTACATCCTGTATGGCCTGTTACATCCTGTAAGGCCTGTTACATCCTGTAAGGTCTGTTACATCCTGTAAGGTCTGTTACATCCTGTAAGGCCTGTTACATCCTGTAAGGCCTGTTACATCCTGTAAGGCCTGTTACATCCTGTATGGCCTGTTACATCCTGTAAGGTCTGTTACATCCTGTAAGGCCTGTTACATCATGTAAGGCGTGTTACATCCTGTAAGGTCTGTTACATCCTTTAAGGTCTGTTACATCTTGAAAGGCCTGTTACATCATATAAGGCCTGTTACATCCTGTATGGCCTGTTACATCATGTAAGGTCTCTTACATCCTGTATGGCCTCTTACATCATGTAAGGCCGATTACGTCCTGTAAGGCCTGATACATCCTGTAAGGCCGATTACGTCCTGTAAGGCCTGATACATCCTGTAAGGCCTGTTTCATCATGTAAGGCCTGTTACATCCTGTAAGGTCTGTTACATCCTGTAAGGTCTGTTACATCCTGTAAGGTCTGTTACATCCTTTATGGCCTCTTACATCCTGTAAGGCATGTTACATCCTGTATGGCCTGTTACATCATGTAAGGTCTCTTACATCCTGTATGGCCTCTTACATCATGTAAGGCCGATTACATCCTGTAAGGCCTGTTACATCCTGTAAGGCCTGTTTCATCGTGTAAGGCCTGTTACATCCTGTAAGGCCTGTTACATCCTGTATGGCCTGTTACATCCTGTAAGGTCTGTTACATACTGTAAGGTCTGTTACATCCTTTATGGCCTCTTACATCCTGTAAGGCCTGTTACATCCTGTATGGCCTGTTACATCCTGTAAGGTCTGTTACATTCTGTATGGCCTGTTACATCCTGTATGGCCTGTTACATCATGTAAGGCGTATTATATCGTGTATGGCCTGTTACATCCTGTATGGCCTGTTACATCCTGTAAGGCCTCTTACATCATGTAAGGCCTGATACATCCTGTAAGGCCTGTTTCATCTTGTAAGGTCTGTTACATCCTTTATGGCCTCTTACATCATGTAAGGCCTGTTACATCCTGTAAGACCTGTTACATCCTGTATGGCCTGTTACATCCTGTAAGGTCTGTTACATCCTGTAAGGTCTGTTACATCCTTTATGGCCTGTTACATCCTGTAAGGCCTGATACATCCTGTAAGGCCTGTTACATCATGTAAGGCCTGTTACATCCTGTAAGGCCTGTTACATCCTGTATGCCCTGTTACATCATGTAAGGCCTGTTACATCCTGTAAGGCCTGATACATCCTGTATGGCTTCTTACATCATGTAAGGCCTGTTACATCCTGTAAGGCCTGTTACATCCTGTATGGCCTGTTACATCCTGTAAGGCCTGATACATCCTGTAAGGTCTGTTACATCCTTTATGGCCTCTTACATCATGTAAGGCCTGTTACATCCTGTAAGGCCTGTTACACCCTGTAAGGCCTTTTACACCATGTAAGGTCTGTTACACCCTGTATGACCTATTACATCATGTAAGGCATGTTACATCCTGTAAGGCCTGTTACATCCTGTAAGGCATGTTACATCCTGTAAGGCATGTTACACCCTGTAAGACCTGTTCCATCCTGTAAGGCATGTTACATCCTGTAAGGCCTGTTACACCCTGTATGGCCTGTTATATCCTGTAAGACCTATTACATCCTGTAAGGCCTGTTACACCCTGTATGGCCTGTTATATCCTGTAAGACCTATTACATCCTGTAAGGCCTGTTACATCCTGTAAGGCATGTTACATCCTGTATGGCCTGTTACATCTTGTAAGGTCTATTACATCCTGTATTGCCTGATAGATCCTGTAAGACCTATTACATCATGTAAGGCCTGTTACATCCTGTAAGACCTGTTACATCCTGTAAGGTCTGTTACATCCTGTAAGGCCTGTTACATCCTCTAAGGCCTGTTACATCCTGTAAGGCCTGTTATATCCTGTAAGGTCTGTTACATCCTGTAAGGCCTGTTACATCCTGTAAGGCCTGTTACATCTTGTAAGGTCTGTTACATCCTGTATTGCCTGATAGATCTTGTAAGACTTATTACATCCTGTAAGGCCTGTTACACCCTGTATGGCCTGTTATATCCTGTAAGACATATTACATCCTGTAAGGCCTGTTTCATCCTGTAAGGCCTGTTACATCCTGTAAGGCATGTTGGGGCGGTCGGGTAGCCTAGTGGTTAAAGCGTTCGCTCGTCACGCCGAAGACCCGGGCTCGATTCCCGACATGGGTACAATGTGTGAAGCCCATTTCTGGTGTCCCCCGCCGTGTTATTGCTGGAATATTGCTAAAAGCGGCGTAAAACCATACTCACTCACTGTAAGGCATGTTACATCCTGTATGGCCTGTTACATGTTGTAAGGTCTGTTACATCCTGTATTGCCTGATAGATCCTGTAAGACTTATTACATCATGTAAGGCCTGTTACATCCTGTAAGACCTGTTACATCCTGTAAGGCCTGTTACATCCTGTAAGGCCTGTTACATCCTCTAAGGCCTGTTACATCCTGTAAGGCCTGTTATATCCTGTAAGGTCTGTTACATCCTGTAAGGCCTGTTACATCCTGTAAGGCCTGTTACATCTTGTAAGGTCTGTTACATCCTGTATTGCCTGATAGATCCTGTAAGGCCTGTTACACCCTGTATTGCCTCTTACATCCTATAAGGCATGTTACATCCTGTAAGACCTGTTACATCGTGTAAGGTCTGTTACATTCTGTATGGCCTGATAGATCCTGTAAGGCCTATTACATCATGTAAGGCCTGTTACAGCCTGTAAGGCCCGGTTCATCCTGTATTGCCTGTTACATCCTTTAAGGTTTGTTAGGTCCTGTCAGGCCTGTTACCATAGTTTCTTAGGATGTTATAATGCTTATGACAAATACATGTATCTTTCCTTGGTCATACAGATGATTGCAGACGACAAGGCAGCGATGACCCGTTATCAAAACAGTATTCTCTCTATGAAGCAAGGTTGGTATATTCTGTGGAGATCATTGGGGAAAATGTTGTAAAAGTACAGAAACAATTTCTTAGGATGTTTGCACAGCCATAGTAATTAATTGCAAATGCTTTGATACCAACCCTCTCTTAATTCTAAATTGCTATATAATTACATAAGGGACCGACCGTTTGAGATTCTGGGAGGGGAGGGGTTTAGCTACAGCTACAAAACCAGATGTATATTCTTATTTCCAGATATGAACCTTGCAATAATGTAGTAAGGAATATCAAATCGTCGGTCTCTTATATTAGTAAAGAATGGTCCCCTGTATTGTACACAGTGTTTGCGAGGGTAATGTAGTCTTGACATCTTTTGTTTGAGTTACGGAATGAGACATGCTGCACCCTTTCATACTTAAATGTCTAAATTGCATGTGTTTGCAAAGATGTGTGAACATAACGTATGACGTTCCCATGGTCGTTTCAGATGGTTCTGCCTTCCACAATGTGGGAGATATCAGTTCATGGCTTCCTGTTTTGTGTAAGTTAACTTAAATTCCATACGATACAAACCTCAAATGTATTCATTCACAAACATTAGCAGGAACTATTTTTATTTAACAGGGCTACAACTACAAATATGTGTATAACAGAGTTTCAATACTTTTGTATGTTATGCATCAATCATTTCAGAGAAACATAACACTTTGGACATTCTTTCTTGAATGAGGAATTTGTTCATTGAAATGAAATGAGAGACCAAAATCATTGGCCTTATTACGAGTGAGGTGTGTGGTGGTGTATGTAGTGGTGTATTTAGTGAGGGAATTCTTGATGTTTGGCAGGTCGGTATAAATAATCTTTAGAAAAGTAGGAGATCATGATTCAGAACTATAAATGTTAATACCAAGTAATGTTTGTTTATGAACTAGCGGTGCGGTGTCTGCAAGGCGCGGAGCGTCTAGGGGCGGGAGGAGTGGGCCAGACTCCCTCAAGTCAGCATTTGGATATTCATACGCGATATGCCTTGTCGAGTGAATGAATGTTTGACAAATCGTAGGGGTGGTATGCACTACTGATCCAAAAACGTCAATTTTGAAATTTCCCGTCATACCCCTTAACAAGATCGTCGGTAGCCATACCCTGTCTGGCGCTCGGCATTAAGAGGCTAAAATAGGGACTGGTCGGCTCTGGGGCAGTATACTGTGTCTGAATGGGGTATTCATGTTAAGGGGCGGTCGGGTAGCCTAGTGGCTTAAGCGTTCGCTCGTCACTACGAAGACCTGGGTTCGATTCCCGACATGGGTACAATGTATGAAGCCCATTTCGCCGTAATATGCGGCGTAAAACCATACTCACTCACTATTCATGTTAAACTGCAGCATGATATCTCAGTGAGCTAGCACTATAAATCGGCATCAGTCCGGGCTAGTACAAGCACACACACACGACGAAGCTAGTCGTTTTACCAATCAGATCCTAAGGACATTTGCCTGATCCTATACGAGTACCATTGATTCAGCAAACTATGGCCGAGGGCCCTGGTAAGCTTATGGTATTGCGTGACCGTTAGTCAGTCAACCCATTGCTGCTATAGACATAGCCACTGACCCTATCACAGCGTCTCTACCTACTCCGGAGAATGAATCTACTTCTGCGTTCTCTATGAACATGTTGGAACAGCATTTCAACCAGCAGAAAGGGATGATGGAGTCGATGTTTGAGTCCCATTTCTCCGCTATATCTCAAGAGATGGAGATGCTTAAAAGAAGCAGACAGTATTTGCTAAAGAGTCAGGGCAAAGAGGCCGCATCGGGGAACAGCCATCTGTCTAGACCACAGTCACAGCCATACAGACCAGCCGGGTAGAAGCTCCCAAGCTCACCCGACTTCACGCGGGTTCACTGAAAATTCTCGGTCATGTTTCAGATGGTGGAACACAGGTTCACTGGATACACTAGAAAATGTTTCATTTGGCCATACACGGGTTCACTGAATACACTTTGTAATGTTTCAGATGGTTGACACGGGTTCATTGAATACACTAGAAAATGTTTCATTTGGCTATACACGGGTTCACTGAATACACTTTGTAATGTTTCAGATGGTTGCACAGGGGTTCACTGAATACACTTTGTAATGTTTCATTTGGCTACACACGGGTTCACTGAATACACTCGGTAATGTCTCAATTGATTGCGCACGGCTTGACTGAATATTCTCGGCAGTGTTTCATGTTGTTGCACACGGGTTCACTGAATACACTCGGAAATGTTTCAGGTGACTGCCAACGGGTTCACTGAATACACTCGGTAATGTTTCAGATGGTAGCACACGAATTCACTGAATACAACCTGTAATGCTTCAAATGACTACACACGGGTTCACTGAATACACACGATAATGTTTCAGTCGGTACCATTCAAGTTCAATGAATACACTCGATAATGTTTCAGGTGGTTGAACACATGTTCACTGAATACACTCGGTAATGTTTCAGGTGGTTTTACACGTGTTCACTGAATACACACCGTAATGTTTTAAGTGGTTGCACAAAGGTTCACCGAATACACTCGGTAATGTCTCAGTTGATTGCGCACGGCTTGACTTAATATTCTTGGTAGTGTTTCATGTTGTTGCACACGGGTTCACTGAAGACACTCGATAATGTTAGTGGTTAAAGCGTTCGCTCGTCACGCCAAAGACCCGAGTTTGATACCCGACATGGGTAAAATGTGTGAAGCCCATTTTCTGGTGTCCCCCGCCGTGATATTGCTTGAATATTGCTCAAACTGGCGTAAAACCATACTCACTCACTCACTCACTCACTTGGCTGCATACGGGTTCACTCGATACACTCGGTAATCTTTCAGATGGTTGCACACGGGTTCACTGGGTACGCTAGAAAATGTTTCATTTGGTTGCACAGGCGTTCACTAAATACACTCAGAAATGTTTCAGGTGGCTCCACACGGGTTCAATGAAGACACTCGGTAATGTTTCAGGTGATTGCACACGGAATCACTGCATACACTTGGTTATCTGTCAGGTGGTCGCACACAGTTTTACTGAATACACTCAGCAATGTTTCTGGTGGCTGCACACGGAATCACTGAATACACTTGGATATTTTTCAGGTGTTTGTACACGGGTTCACTAAATACACTCAGCAAGGTTTCAGTTGGAATACACTGGGTAATATTTGAGGTGATTGCACACGGGTTCACTGAATACACTCAGTAATGTTTCTGGTGGACGCACACAGGTTGAGCGTATACGCTCGTTGATGGTTCATGGTGGTCGCACACGGGTTCTCTGAATACACTTATTAGTGTTTCAGGTGGTCGCACATGTGTTTACTGAATACATTCAGTAATCTTTCAGGTGGTTGCACACAGGTTCACTGAATACACTCGTTAATGTTTCAGGTGGTCGCACACGGGTTCTCTGAATACACTTAGTAGTGTTTCAGGTGGTCGCACACGGGTTCACTAAATACACTGAGTAATGTTTCAGGTGATCGCACATGGGTTTACTGAATACATTCAGTAATCTTTCAGGTGGTTGCACACGGGTTCACTAAATACACTCGGTAATCTTTCAGATGGTTGCACACGGCTTCACCGAATACACACGGTAATGTTTCAGGTGGTCGCACACGGGTCCAATGAATGCACTGGGCAATGTTTCAGTAGGTCGCACACGGGTTGAGTGTATACACTTTGTAATACTTCAGGTGGTCGCAGATGGGTTCACTAAATAGACTGGGTAATGTTTCAGGTGGTTGCACACGGGTTCACTCAATACACTCGTTTATGTTCCAGGTGGTCTCACACGAATTGAGCGTATACACTCGGCAATGTTTCAGGTGGAATACTGGGTAATATTTTAGATGATTGCACACGGATTCAATGAATACACTCGGTAATGTTTCAGGTGGTCGCACACAGGTTCTCTGTATACACTCTGTTATGGTTCAGGTGGTCGCACACGGGTTCACTGAATTCACTCAGTAATGTTTCAGGTGGTTGCATACAGGTTCACTGAATACAGTCAGTAATGTTTCAGGTGGTTGCATACAGGTTCATTGAATACACTCGGTAATGCTTCAGGTGTTTGCACACGGTTTCACTGCATACACTCGTTCATGTTTCAGATGGTTGCACACTGGCTTACTGAATACACTCGGTAATGTTTCAGGTGGTTGCACACGGGCTCACTGAATACGATCAGTAATGTTTCAGGTGGTTGCACACGTGTTCACTGAATACACTCGGCAATGTTTCAGTTTGTTGGACACGGGTTCACTAAGTCCACTTGGTAATGATACAGATGGTCGCAAACGGGTTCACTGAATACAATGCGTAATGTTTTAATTTATTGCAGATGCGTGCACTTCATACACCCGATAAATATTTCAGGTTGTTGCACATGGGTTCATTGCATACACTAGGTGCAGTTTCACTTACACATTGGTTAACTGACTACACTCGGTAATGTTTCAGGTGGTTGCACGCGGATTCACTGAATTCACTCGGTAATGTTTCAGGTGTATACACACAGGTTCACTGCATGAGTAATTTCGGTAATGTTTCAAGTGATTGCAAATGGTTGCACTGCATACACTCGATAATGTTTCAGGTGGTTGCACATGAGTTCATTGCATACACTAGGTGCCGTTTTAATTGCACATTGGTTTACTGAATACACAGGGAATGTTTCACATGGTTGCTCGCTGGTTAACTGCATATACTCGGCAATATTTCACGTGGGTAACCTGCATATACTCGGTAATGTTTCACGTGGGTTCACTGCATATACTCGGTAATATTGTACGTTGCACGTTGTACGTTGCACGTGACTTCCCTCTCTCTCTCTCATAAAATAACACAGGCGGACTAACACGAGCACCTCTGTTTTGCAAATGTGAATATCGTCACACTTTTGGGTTCGTGAATACAAACGTAGTGGAAATATTTGCCCGAGGTACAAGACGGGGAAAGCATTGTCCAGCTGGTTTTATCAGTCAGTGGAATCTAGTGACCGTTGTATATGTTCAAGTATGGTTACAACAATTCCCCTTGACATCTCCGTGTATTTATAATCTCAAATCACATCGATAGACATGCATCAGTTAATCAAAGGAGGTAGTGATATTATGAAACATGTGGGCGTACTTCCTTATTTATTGCAGAGCCATCTAACGGCTGCGCTTGCGCGGTGCGGCGATTGATTCAAAAGTTTAACTTTAAGTAGAGAACGTGATAAAATATATTTGTGGTACAAAATGACAGCTGTGCGAGACGTTGGCTGTTCAGATCTAATTTTTTTTAATGTTCATTACACCTCATCTGGTTTTACAACACATTAATTAACTATACTATGATGAGGAACACATTAAAAGTATATTAAACTATATTTCAGAGCGACGCTGGATACATTTTATAAAGTTTAGTGTCGGACTTAAGAGTTAAAGTTCTCGGCTCATGTATGCGTGTTTATGTCATGATACCAGGCAATATGAGTAATTATCAAATAAGGGGCGGTCGGATCGGGTGGCCTAGTGGTTAAAGTGTCCGCACGCCATGCCGAAGATCTGGGTTCGATTCCCGACATGGGTACAATGTGTGAAGCCCATTTCTGGTGTCCACCGCCATTTTTGTTTGTTTGTTTGTTTGTTTATTTGTTGTTTAACGCCGCACTAAGCAATATTCCAGATATATGACGGCGGTCTGTAAATAATCGAGTCTGGACCAGACAATCCATTGATTAATATCATGAGCATCGATCCACCCAATTGGGACCGATGACATGCATCAACCAAGTCAGCGAGCCTGACCACCCGATCCCGTTTGTCGCCTTTTACGGCAAGCATGGTCACCTTTTACGGCAAGCATGGGTTGCTGAAGACCTATTCTACCCCGGATCGTCCCCCGCCATGATATTGCCGGAATATTGCTAAAGGCGGCGTAAAACCATACTCACTCACTCACCCACTATTATTAAAAATGTGTAGACAGTTAAAAAAGCAAAGTATTATTCTACCATGACCTCATCCTCGACCATCCAGTGTATTATATCATCATTTAATTACGATGAATACATTGAAACCATAAGTTGCCAAAGTTCCGTTATCTGTGTTATCATCACTCTTCTTCTTGCTCGACTGTAATTTGATTGCACGTCGTCAGTCTTGAAGTCGCGTATTTCAATTCGTCCTCTGTAAGAAGCTATGTTGACGTATGAGTCCAAGGTATTTATGATATTAGTATGTAGACATAATACACTGCATAATCGTCTGTGATTTATCTGTATTCAACATAATTTGAAAACAATGAGTTACATTATAACCAGATTTCATAAATTACATCAGTATGTGCTAATCACTAACGAAGTGCTATTTGTACGTAATCTGAACTGTAGGTTTCTTGAATCCTGAATAACACAAAAATAGATCTCTCACCTGCTTTTTAATTGAATGTATAGCAAACTATATGTCTGGGTTGATGCAGCAGTAATGAACTACATAGAGAAGGTAATAAAAGTATTGTATGGAAATAAATGTTATTGCTAACACACAATATACAACTTTCATATTATTATTATTGACGACTGGGCCACCCATGCCCTCCAGAGAAGGTAATAAAAGTATTGTATGGAAATAAATTTTATTTATAACACACCATATTAAACTTTGATACTGTCCTTGTTATGTCTCTAACTAAATGTATGTGAAAAGGTGAAGCACATCAGAAGAGAGTGACAAAACATTACATCGGTGATGGTACGAATGAGTTGGATGCTGTGCAATGCTCGCACAGACGCTACTTTACTTAAAAATACATGATTACAAACAGCACGATTGAAGAAGGATTTTGAATGAAATATCAACTCAGAGATAGGTTAAGTGAGGCAAAATTATTTTGGTGTTAATTTATTTATCAATCATTGTAATTATGTGTAATAATCATTTAGAATTCCCACACGTATAGTTATAACATACATCCCGCCATTCCCCGCCAGTAGACAAGACAGCCTCTCCGCCCAGCGAGTGTGATGGTGTGACTGTGAAAGTGACTGAAGCGGACATAGAAGTTACCTGTTCATGTGATGTCTGTTGTCTGTACAAATGTCAAAATGTCTCAACTTGATGTAGTTTTCTGTTTCATTGTATTCTCTATTGTACAAGAGAAGTTGTGAATTCACACAGTGGTATTTAAACATGAAGTTATGTAAATATTACTGCTTATTTTGACAAAGAGCCTCGATGTCTGACTTCTATATCACAGCAACAGATCGGAACTAATGTTTGTCAAAAAATGTTTTATATGGTGTTGATTTGATCATTAAACCATGTAACCTTGTATAAAATACATTTAGAATTCACATACAAATAGTTTTGCAGTATATTTATTCCGCTATCATTCACAATGGTGACCTAATTGACAAACTTGGTGAAACTCACAGTCGAACATTTAGGACGCTGTTCACAGATAATATCATGAGATTCACAATAAATGTCCGACTTTGTCTCTACAGTAAATAAACTTATCACACAACAAACACCATCTATATTTCCAGGTCCTAAACTACATCTGGACGCCGCTCGAGCCAACACAGATTATGTCCACGTAACTACAGACGGTGAGCTGGTCAACTCGCTGCCCGACACACGGCCTTATGATAACAGGCGCAAGCTCCAGGAGTATTGCGGAACCTGTGCCTCCACCCCCATCCCCCTTCCTCCACCCCACCCCACTCTCACCCCGGTATACAGCACTCCCAGATACTGGGAGACACGAACCAGTGTGAGGGTGATGGGTCGAGAGCGGTGGTGGTGGGGGCCTCTCCTGGAGATGGGGGTGAGTGAGGCAGGACAGGTGGACAGTGGGGTGTGGGTTTCACTACGGCGTCGCTCCTGGGATGTCCGCGTAGGGAGATGTGGCAGACACGGGAGGAGTATCTGTACCATGGTGTGGCGGGACAGGGAGCCGGGCGAGTGTCAGCAGAACACCATGTCCCGCACTCCCGGCACACAGGCCACCCTCCACTATGGTGTTGTGCTGGATGTGGGGAGGGGCAGACTGGCCTTCATTGACCTGAACAGGGGCGTTGTTTTAGCCAGGTTTGATGCGAGGTTTAGGGAAGACCTGTACCCCATGTTTGGTGTTAGTCCGTGGCCAGAGTACTACACTATCAACATGAAACTGATCAGCGGGGAAGACATCGTCATCACCGACACCAAGAAGTCACTGATTCACGATGCGCTTAGGACTTAGGACATGACGCTGTGTGAAGTTAGCAATGTAATTCAAGGTTGTAAAATCTGCTGTGTCAATGACGAGAACTGAACTGAGTTAAGCGGACATAAAAGTGTCCGGTTTGTCTGCTATTTCATGGTTACAAAAACTAACAAAGTGAGCTAAACGTGATGTTTTGCGGCACGAGAGGGTTGAACTGTGTATAAAAAGTATTTAGAATTATCACATGAGTATCTTTATGTTGACAGTATTGCTGTAGTGACTTCCAATATGAGACACTGTATGGTGTTCTGCTGCACGAGAGGGCTGTACAGTGTACAGAAAGTATTTAGAATTATCACATGAGTATCTGTATGTTGACAGTATTGCTGACAGTATTGCTGACAGTGACTTCCAATATGAGACACTGTGTGATGTTTTGAGATTTAATGTGATTTGTAAATGAGTGAAGTGCAGTTTTACAAAAGTTGTTTCAATATGCAATTTTCTTAATCTCACTGAATGACGGGCTGTGTAATAGTGAGAACACAATAGTGACACAAGTTGTTTCAAATAACAATGTTCAGTGTGAAACCACAAACACCTCTGATGGAAGTAATGCTTTTAAAAGATTGATAAAAAGATTTTTTCAAATTTGAAATTTTCACTTTATTTGTTATCCATTCGAGAAAAAAATGAATACAAATTTTGTCATCTTGATATGTTTCTCGTGGTATTATTACATGAAAAGGTTGTAGAAAATAGTTCTGAAACATTTCGTTCTTATTGGTTGAAGGAGTGAGTTGGTGTTTGTGACAACAGTAGGCAATATTCCAGCTATGTCACAGCAACCGATAAATATTCCTAATCCTGATCAGAGAACTAAAGGCTGACAGCATGAGCACTGGTTAACTACTTGTTGCCTGGTCATTTATAGCAACATCAAGAGATTGTGGGACCTACATCTATCCGACTCCCCCCAGGGATTGAAACATGCTGTGCCGTGCTGCACAAACACACGCAGGCACGCACGCACGCACGCACACACACACAACACACACACGCGCACGCACGCACGCACGCACGCACACGCACACACACACACACACACACACACACAAATTAACGTTACGGGCCGGTCATTTAGTAATTTACAAAAGAAACTGTGGACAACGAAACGAAATAAGTGACATTGTTCAGGACAATAATACAGCACAACCCCGCACATTCTTTTATCAGCCAATCAGGAAACAGTTGTCCGTCAGGTTTAAGGCAACATGAAAACGCAAAAATAAGCCATGGAATCTCTTACGATTTACCTATAAGGCTTTAATTTGTGTTTTTGTTGTTTTGTTTGTTTGCCACACACAGCAATTTGCAGCTGTATGACAGCGGTCTGTAAATAATCGAATCTGGACCAGACAATACAGTGACTGACGTCATGAGCATCGACCCACGCAATTGGGATACGATGACATGTATCAACTAAGTCAGTGAGCCTGACAACCCGATCCCGTTAGTTGCCTCTTGCGGCCAGCGTGGGTTGTTGAAGACCTATTCTACCCCCTTTCTCCAGGGGTCTATAATGCTTCAAACAATCATGCATCATGTATAGACCACTGAAGGCATGACACATGCAGTGAAGTCTCAACCATTACAAAAAGTTGTTACAAATCACGTTTCCTTCTCTTATTCAACTTATGTGTGTAATAAATGTATGTTTATGTATTTTTTAATATTCTTATATGCAATGTGTTAAGGCATATTAGTTTAAATTGTGGCCTTTATTTATTTGCCTTTCTCTATAGAGTATATACAATCTGTTATTGTATCTGGTTTATATGGTTATCTATGTAGATTTACCATAAATGCAAAATTTTTCAAAAAATTGTTTTATGGGAAAAAACCCAGTTGCTCTTCATGCGCGCTGCCCGGTTACACCTCATGGCGGGAATCAATACGTCACTTAAAAGATATGAAGTAACGGTGACGTCATCCACGTTAGCGTCATCCACGTTAGCTTTCTGATTAACGCGCATCTCCGCTTGGATAGCCGCCCGCTCCAGACGTGTTTTGCCCTGTCTCATATTAGCAACTTAACTTTTCAAATCAAATCGTAAGTACGATCCTTTCTAGCATCTTAGTCTGTTGGATTGTTATCATTTGTGAAAATTTTCTGAATTGTAAATTCAGCTACATAGAATGCCTGTGTCAGGACGTATTTTGATTGTAGGACATTCTTTCATTGCTAGACTGAAAAAGCATATTGCTTGGGGACATGATCGTTTTAGATATGATTTTGGATTGACAGGGCAAAGTAGTGTGTATAGGTTTGGGATCGGGGGATTGACACTAAATCGTCTGAAAACCATTTATTTGCGTGATTTCGAGGAGCGATTGTATCACTACAACCCAGAAATTCTTGTTATTCAGCTGGGTGGCAATGATTTGTGTCGTTCGGACGTTGACCCTCTAAGACTCGCTAGGGAGTTTGAGGATAATTTTCAAGAGATAAAATCAAAATATAACATCATCAAGCTTGTCATCTGCGAAGAATTCCCTAGGTCTTCCGATAACGCTGTTGGAGTTGGGTATGAGAGAAAACGCCTGCAATTTAACCAGTACTTGAGTGTTATGCTACCGGAGAGAGGCATGTGTTTTTGGAAACATAAGAAAATTTTTCATTCTTCCTTGTCTATTTTCCGGAAGGATGGGGTACATTTGACTGATGATGGCAATTACAAGTTGTATAGAAGTTTGCGCGGTTGCATAATTGCATATTCGGATCTGAAGGGTTTTAGCTAAGTATGGCTATAAAAGCGAAGTCGCGATATTTGTATATTTGTTAGACAAATTTGATGTTTCCTTTTAACAGTTGACAATTTTTACTGAAAGAGCACGGCTCATTGATGTATTTGACGTATTTGGCAATGAATTTGTACTAGCAGAAGTAAGCATACCTGTATTTTTTACTATTTAACCATGGCTTGTTGAAATGTTGAAAGATAATCTATTTAGTGTTCGCGGGGGATAACAGAAGTGTTGTCCTTCGCTAGAACGCTACTCATTGTTTTTAAATCTGTCCTGTAGTGGCAGTGTGTATTATTTTTGCTCTCGCGGTTGAGATTGTTGAAAGACAATCTATTTAGTGTTCGTGGGGGATAGCAGCAATGTTTTCCTTCGCTAATGCTACTCTGCGGTTGATGCATTTTTCTGCCCTGTGGTGGCATTGTTTTAATCTGTCCTGTAGTGGCAGTGTGTATATGTTTGCTCTCGCGGTTAGCTTGTTGAATGACAATCTATTTAGTGTTCGTGGGGGATAGCAGAAGTGTTGTCCTTCGCTAATGCTACTCTGCGGTTGATGCATTTTTCTGCCCTGTGGTGGCATTGTTTTGTTGTTGTTTTTTAATCTGTCCTGTAGTGGCAGTGGGTATATTTTTGCTCTCGCGGTCGAGAGTGTTGAATGACAATCTATTTAGTGTTCGCGGGGGGTAGCAGAAGTGTTGTCCTTCACTAGAATGCTACTCTGCGGTTGATGCAATTTTCTGCCCTGTGGTGGCAATATTATTCTAGTTTCCTACTTCAGTCTACATGTTTACGTTGTCTTTCAAGGATTTTGCTAAATTGTAATATACAGGGTAGCAACTCTTAAATGCCTTTGATCACATTCACGTTGTAAAACATAAATAGTTAAAAGGTCTCAAGTTACAATAAGTCAGAGTTACTTTGTTGTGGGCGATAGCTAAGCGTTCTCCCACAGTATTAGTTCTTTTGTGCAAACCTTTGCTGGTTTTTGTACTTCGTTCCAAGGTCCATTCCGGTCTGAGATGCCCCTATCCGCTAGAAGTCGGAAACGTTCCAGTCAGGCTCCGAACAACACGGTCGGCGACGTGGACCTCTGCCAGGATGAGCTTGCAGGCGCCAGTTCGTCCAAAAGACCCACTAATCGTCAGCGGTGGAGCGGGCGGGCGGAGATGACCGAGCATCTGGAAGAAAGGACTAATACCTTAGCTATCAATGACATCAATATTGGACAGGCGAGTTCGTCAAAGATACCCACTAATCGTCAGCGGCGGAGCGGGCGGGCGGAGATGACCGAGCATCCGGAAGAAAGGACTAATACCTTAGCTATCAATGACATCAATATTGGACAGGGTGAGGCGGTCCTTAATCCTTTTGCGTTCAATAGTATAAACCAGACTGAAATGCAAAAATTCAAATCTACGTCCATACCCTTAGGCTTTGGGGTAGGAGACAAACTTAAAGCTAAAATTTGGCAAAACGAATTCATTGAAATATCCTCACTTTTATCAGGTGACACTCACGACCAAAATCTTACAATTAATGTAAATGGTCAATCTGTCAATGTCTCCGATTCATCAAAGAAAATGTTTTTGTCTATTGACAAATGGGTTTCTGCATTCCACATTTTTATGTCGGTTCACATTCAGAAATATCCTGAGGATGTTCAGGTTATGTTAAAGTATGTTAGTACAATCAGAGAGCTAGCCCAGAAAGGGGGTAACTGGTATGCCTATGATACTAAATTTCGGAAGTTGAGGTCAGAAAACAATTTGGATTGGGGAACAGTACACTGGGAATTATGGTTTAGTGCAATTACTTCAAATTTGCAGAATTTTCGTCCCTCAAACCAAAAGCAATTTAAGGCAAAGACATCAGGGTCTGCCAAATCTGCCATCCCAAACGGTTTCTGCTTCAGCTTTCATCTCGGACGGGAATGCAATGCCAAACCTTGTAGATACAGTCACTATTGTTCCCAATGCGGAGGTGACCATGGCTACAGTAAATGTGGGCAGAGGAAAGAATTTGGTAGACCAAACCGAGCAAACCAACCTCCCAACCCCTATAAACGTGCATAAGCTAGAACATTGGCTTGAAGGTTATGATAAAGAAATCACTGATTATCTGTTAAAGGGTTTCAAGTTTGGGTTTCGCATTGGATACGAGGGTAATTTAAAATCAGGAGATTGTCACAACTTAAAAAGTGCTTCAGATAACGTAGACGTGGTCCAAAACAAAATAAGCAAAGAATTAAGACTAGGTAGGATATCAGGCCCCTATAAACAGTTTCCACTAAAGGATTTTCATATATCTCCCCTAGGGGTATGCCCCCCAAAATTTCCAGGTCAATTTAGAATGATCCATCACCTTTCTTATCCTTACGGTAACTCTGTCAACGATGGTATACCTGAAAAGGCGAGCAATGTACATTATGCTTCCTTAGATGAAGCAATTGACATTATTGTTAGGATGGGCTTAGGGTCTTATATGGCGAAGTGCGACATTGAATCAGCTTTCAGAATTGTACCTATTCACCCTCACGATTATCACCTACTTGGTTTCACCTGGAAAGGAGAATATTATTTCGATAAGTGCTTGCCAATGGGTTGTTCGTCAGCATGCAAAATTTTCGAGACGTTTAGCACTGCGTTGAACTGGATTGCAATTAACAAGCTCGGGATAGGACACATGCTGCATATTTTAGACGACTTCCTCATTATTTCTCAGGGCAGGGGCAAGTGTCGTGGAGAACTTGAAGCATTTTTAAACATATGCGGAGATATTGGGATTCCTTTTGCGCCGGAAAAAACAGTAGGGCCTGCCAACTGTCTCACGTTTCTAGGAATCGAAATAGATACTATTGCCATGGAAGCCAGGTTACCTTCAGACAAATTAGTTAAGGCTAGAAGCTTGACCGCTGATATGTGCAAGAAGAAGAAAGTTAGACTTAGTGAGCTGCAATCCTTATTAGGCTACCTTAATTTCACTTGTAAAGTTGTGGTACCAGGTAGGGCTTTTCTTAGGAGATTGTATGATTTAACTGTCGGGACCCAGAGACCCCATCATCGGATACGGTTAAATAAGCAAGCTCGGGAGGATCTTAAATTGTGGCTGCAATTTCTAGGTCAGTATAACGGGATATCCGTATTGCGGAAACAGGCGTGGTTGTCGAATAGTGCGCTTCATCTCTTTACCGACGCTGCAGCGTCGTTAGGGTATGGAATTGTTTTTAGAAGCAAATGGGCGTATGGAGTTTGGCCAGGCTGTTGGAAGTTGTTTAACATAGCTGTCTTAGAGTTTTTTCCCATTGTGTTGGCAGTTAGATTATGGGCTGAAGAGCTAAGAGGAAAATGTATTCTGTTTCATACAGACAACATAGCTTTAGTGTCCGTTATCAACAAGCAAACGTCTAAAGAAGTCAAGTTGATGTCCTTGGTGAGGGACCTTGTTCTTTCGTGTTTGAAACGGGATAAAATTTTCAGAGCGGAACACATACCGGGAAGACATAATAAGTCGGCAGACCTACTTTCTCGTTTACAGATATCAAAATTTGTCAGTCAGGCACCATGGGCAGACAAGCAGGAAACGCGGATTCCTCCGCCCCTACGACCCGAGAATTATCTATTCACTTAGATACTTTATTAGGGGCAGCTCTATGTAAGAATAGTCAGGCTACTTATACCAGAGCGTGGGAATTGTACAATGAATTCTCCCGGGATTGTCTAGGTATTTCGCCGGCGCTACCGATAGCAACACCTAACTGGGCACTATTTTTGGCGTATATGTTCCATTTAAAGTTAGCACCTTCAACAATGAGGACCTACATTTCAGCGTTAGGTTACATTCATAAAATTCGCGGTTTAGAGGACAAATCAAATTCTTTTCAAGTTCAGAAGTTGTTACATGGGGCTAAGTGTCTAAACTCTTCAGTAGACCAGCGTCTACCAATCACAGAGGACATACTGGGCAGGATGATTGACTCATTACGTGTGGTGTTTTCCAACCCTTCAATCAGACTACTTTATGAGACAATGTTTTTAGTTGCCTTTCACGGATTTTTTCGGATTGGTGAACTGACGGTGCGTAGTTCGGATGAGGAAGCGGCCTTGCAGGTGCAGGACGTTTCACTTTCCAGCTCCGTGGCCTATCTTAACATATCGATGTATAAACACAACAGCGGTAAAGCTAGCAAGATCGTCACACTAGACAAGTTAGACAGTACCCTATGTCCAGTTGCCGCGCTCAAACGTTACCTACGACAAAGGTCTCTCTTCCCAGGCCCTCTGTTTTGTGACAGATGCTTTAAACCGGTAGCAAGATCCTCCTTTAACGAGGCACTCAGAGTTGTATTTAAATTCTTAAGGTTAGATTCTACTAGATACAAAGGACACAGTTTCCGTATAGGTGCAGCATGCTCGGCAGCAAAGAAAGGCTGGTCTGACGCAAAAAATTCGGCAAAGGGGCCGGTGGAATTCAGATGCATTTAAAGCATACATTCGTGTTCAGCTGTAGAGAATAAGGGTTGTTGTCGGTAGCGTAGCTCAGCGGAAAAAGAGCCTATTTGCTGAATAGGACCAATTAGAAGTTTGGCAATCTAGAGTTTTATTTATCACTTAAATGTAGGGAAAATGCGATTGCTATTGATCTACTCATACAGAGTAGAGTCTGTTGTTCAATGTATCACTTACTATGTTATAATGTGTGTTAACTTGTTATGGTTCATTATGCCAAGACAGGGAGTGTGGTGTTTCGCATGGGCAGACACTATGCTTCATGGTCAGGCGAGTTTGTTCAATTAAAGTCTGTCATTAACTAAAAAATTAAACCCCAACTAGGGGCCTTTATGAATAACATAGTAGAGTTGAGTGTTGTATGGTTGCATTTAATACCTTACCCTTATAATAATGAGCATGAGCAGACACTATGCCTCAGGGTCAGGCAATTTGCTCAATGAGTTTCATTATGTAATTCTAGTAATTATTAATGTTAATAATTTTATGTTCCATCAAGGAATCTTTTACGATTTCCATTTCGTGCGGGCTATCTCAAGTGTTGGTCCGCACCAATAATTAACTACAGCTGTGTTAGATTACATTGTTTACGAAATGTAGGCCTATATAGACTATTAGTACGTCATGATACAAAATATTTTATGATAAGGTAGATAAGAGATACTGCCACCAGGATTTACGTTTGCAGGCAACAGACGTTACCGAAGACGAATCCCCAGGTGGAAGTGAAGAAAGAGACTCGGGCGATCCGGTCAATACATAACACTTCCTATGGACCTGGAACGCTGTGTTATGTTTGTGTGTTTGTATCAAAGATACTCAATCAATGCAGATTGCATATATCATATTCCGTGCATAGAATTAGGGAGGAGGAAGCTGCTTTAAATTTTATTGATACGTTTCTAAAACTCGTCCCGAGACCGTCGTCGGGTGGGGGCATAGTGTTCCACTATTGTGGCGTTGTTTCCCCCACCTTTGTGGCTTATTTCATACAATTTCGGATTGATGAATTGTACGCTTAGGCGTATATACCTTGTAATAAATTTGTCCGCCTTTTGTGCGGGCCTAAACAACAATTTTCAGTGTCTGTAATTTTTGCCACAAATGAACTGGACGTTCTCGGGTCTAAGGGTTTTTGAGTATAAATGCAAAATTTTTCAAAAAATTGTTTTATGGGAAAAAACCCAGTTGCTCTTCATGCGCGCTGCCCGGTTACACCTCATGGCGGGAATCAATACGTCACTTAAAAGATATGACGTAACGGTGACGTCATCCACGTTAGCGTCATCCACGTTAGCTTTCTGATTAACGCGCATCTCCGCTTGGATAGCCGCCCGCTCCAGACGTGTTTTGCCCTGTCTCATATTAGCAACTTAAAACCACCTCCTCCCAAGCCTCCTCCTCTCTATCTCGCTATTTAGGTTCCTTTTTCTTAGTCATGTGCGTGTATGCGTTGTTTCCCCCACCTTTGTGGCTTATTTCATACAATTTCGGATTGATGAATTGTACGCTTAGGCGTATATACCTTGTAATAAATTTGTCCGCCTTTTGTGCGGGCCTAAACAACAATTTTCAGTGTCTGTAATTTTTGCCACAAATGAACTGGACGTTCTCGGGTCTAAGGGTTTTTGAGTATAAATATGTATTTGACCATAACAAATATCAGCTTTAACATTCATGTTCCTATTATAGTAATCACATATAGACGGAAAATATGCACATTTATAAACTTTAATTTCACTTTGTTACAATTAAAGGCAGTCCACATGTGCAGTTCCTGTAATGGCCATATACTAACGATATAGACGAACAATTGTTATGGTTTACATTGCGATGATATACATGCATTTGTTCGTTTATCAAAACAACCAATTACTCTGGAGCAGACACTGTCAATAATTTGACCATATATGTTTACAATATCATTTTTTAAATAAGTCCCACAATGCATTTATGGAAATTTAAAGTAGAGAACTACACTTACGTGAGATTGCGATGCAGATGAAGTCATCACGGTGGCTCCAATCAACATGCCCCTACTGTTGATTGTATTCTATATTTAGACACATGAATATGTAAATACTGCGTTTGTTGTCACCTGTGATTATGACTTGATATTTACATTTTTAATTGTGAATGAGTATCATTATTCCTTCATGGTTTCTTCATTTTTTCACAACAAATGATTTTTTTACAAGAAATCATTGTTTAATAGATATAGGGTCTATAAATTGAAATAAATGTTAAATGTTATAACTGTATCTCTTACTAATACGGATATTCAATCTTGTGCGTTGGTAGATCGCTTTACAATATCAGATTACTTCGAATGTACAGTGGTCGCAAGGCAAGGGTGCAGGATCAGTCCTCTACTGCTTACTTTGTTTCTTAATGAGGACGGTAATCCATATTTGTGAATGAATTTGCTGAAACCATTACCCCATTGCTGATGTCATTGCCAATGTAGGTGATAAAGTTAGAAAAATCAGATTTGTATGGTTTAAGAATTTATTTAGGCATGGCCAAAGTAATGGGTTTTTTAAAAGGTGGTGTAATCAGACACAAATATAATGAGATATGATGGTTTAAATTGTTTCACAAGTATTTGGGTGTATGGTATAAGGCCAGAAATACACTAAGCACAACAAGCAGAAAAGTCAAAATACATGTCGTGTCATTTTATCAAAAGTACCAAAACTTAAATAATATGCTCTAATTCTTGTTTCTCTTAAAGAATGATTGCAGGTGACAAACGTGACTGGTGATGTACAACCGGCCTGCTGTTTGATAAAGAAATTATAGTGGTTAAATCCTTTATT